AAGTCCAAAAAGATAAAAAAAAATTTTATGTATGTATTTTTAAAGATATAATAAACATATATTTTTATAATTAATTTATATAAAAACTATAAAAATAAATATTTATCTTAATATTATTGGTACATGAGTAGTTTTATTTGATTAATAAATTATTTAAATTATCAATTACATACTCTAGTATATTAAAAATTTTTCTAACATATATTCTAATATATAGCATGTTTGATTCAAAGAAAAATGAAGGGGAAAAGAGCAAGAGAGGGAAAGTAACCTTATTTTAACTAATTATAAGAGTATCATTGTTTACATTACATTTGACAATTTTCTTAATGATGTTCGTGTCTCTAATGGAGATCCGATTACTACAGCCTTTTCCAAAATTGAGAACTCAAAAATGATTAATGGCCATGATTTGGTGCAACATAGTCCATAGTAAAGATAAATTTTGGTGTAATGAATTTATGACATGTAGTAGAAATGGAAGGAAAGAGATTAACTATTTCACAAAATTGAGGAAGTTGTTGAAATATTGTTGAGTGGTTTAGTTTAGTTGAGGAAAATTAGAATCAGTTCTAATAAGCCTGATTTGAGGGATTTTTGATAATTAGAGTTCTATTTCTAGTAACTAAATGAGACATGGCATAAATCTTTTTTGCAAAGAAGAATTCAAAACTATTAAGACTCCTTTGATTTAGTCAAGCATGACAATAGGGAAGTTGGAGAAAATCATGATCAGATCAAATTTTTGGCAACAATTTTAGTTATAAAGACCCATAAATACAAAATTTCAAGACAAAGTTTAATAAGCCTACCTTCTCAACAACATCTACATTTTAACATATTTTAACTCAACGTTGGTTTAGTTTATTGATAGCTTCTACAGTGACTTTGCAACTTTTTTTATTAGTGTAAAAGAGATTCAACTCCTTCAATGGGTTCTTTATTTTTCTTGTGTTTGATTAAGTTAGCCTCAATAGTTAAATTGAAGGGATTAATATTTATCCACCTTACCTCCTAAAAATTAAGAAAAAAATTATTCAAAAACTACGTAGTTTTAATAAAATACTACAGGAAATGATAAAAAATACTCTAATTCATGCTTTAAAAATATGAAATTTTAGTTTTTTTCAATGAGAATTTATTAA